TGAAACCCACCTCTCTCTCTCTCTCTCTCTCTCTCTCTCTCTCTCTCTCTCTCTCTCTCTCTCTCTCTCTCTCTCTCTCTGTGACTGCGCCAGACTGTTTCGTTGGACTTTTATAGACTCATCAGGAGGTTGAACCTGGACAGACATTCTGCCCAGGATGCATTTGACTGATGGATAAGGACTCACCTCGTACCCTGAGTTAGCGATACCCCTGAGAAGGTTTCTCTGTGTGTGTGTCCGTGTGTTTGTGTGTCTGCATCTAGTCCCTTGAATCCCTTCCCTTAGCTTGGCTCGTCCATTTCGCTTCCACCCATCCTTTCACCCTCTCCTTTCTCTCTGGTCATATTTTGTCGATCGCTTGCTTTCCTTTCGCTCTCCCTATGTTGTTTGCCCCATTATCCCCCTGCCCCCTTTTTTTTTTTTTTTTTTTTTTTGAGACGATGCTCCGATCTATTCGTGGGGAGCAACACGGCTGGGAACCGGGCCCAGCGTCCCTTATCAGAATACGAAAATGAACTACCGGGGCCATTACCTGACTTCGGCTAAGAACAATTAAAGAAAAAGGAAAAAGAAAAAAAAAGAAAAAAAGAAAAGAAAAGAAAAGGAAAACTCGGAAACATTCAGAAAATGTGTGTCAACAAGCCTCCCAACCACGAATCAGATAGGTGAAACCTAATCAATCCACCTTCGATCACCACCAGCATGGCTGTTTTCAGCACGAACCGAAGCTCTTCCATGGCCTCATGCTCCCATCAGGCTAAGTTACAGAGTTGCACCACCTTGCTCCAGCACCGGCCAGCATTGCTTCAGTTACGACCCCGGATAACCACTGAGACTGGCCCCGCAAACAGCCCCCCAGATCTCTCTACCAGGCCTCACGGCCCCATGATCCCCCTAGTTTTCTGCTTGTGTTATGACCCTGGCCAATTTCGAGATACACATCCACTGGAAAGTACAATGCCATCCAATTGCAGAAAGAAATGAATGAACTTGAGAGGAGAGAGAGGAGTAGAAGAAGAAGAAGAAGTAAGAAAGAAGAAGAAGAAGATGTACACCAGCAAAGACAATGACAAGGCTCTTTCTTCTTCGCCCAACAATCTCCTTCTCCTTATCTCCCCCTCCTCTTATTCATACAAGAAATAATACAATGTTGAATGACTGGTCCAGAATCATGTCCGAGTCCCTTTTCTACTGCAGGTATCACTCAAGGTCCACCATAGCCATGGCCGCCTCCCCCACTCTTCACACACATAGGCCGAGGCTATGGCGGACTACTAGGCCTTGCTCCGATGTCCAAAGGACAACGCAGAGCAGCTATGGCTGCTCCAGCTCAGGCCGCCATGCCCAGCCCTGCCTTGAAGCTTCTTGGTGTAGCTTCCCCCGGCTGGGGACTCCTTGCAGCAGCGCCCACCAAGGTGATGAAGATGGCTGCCACCATAGCCAGGTAAGTACCCCTGGTGCTCCTCCCCCTTCCTCCTTCCTTCCTCCTTCCTTCCTCCTTCTTCCTCCCTCTAGTCCTTCTTCTTCCTCCCCAGCAGCGCAGCTCCAGCCCAGCACTGCTCCCTCCAGCGCTCCACCAGTGTGTCGCCAAACTTGCACACCGAAAAAGAGGCCGGGTCTTCCGCCCGGCCGGAAGATATAGCGGCCTGCTTTGCCTCTTGGGTGGTGACTTCCAGGCCGCTGGCCTTCCCAAGCAACCGGTACCTCTTCCTCCTTTTGGAGGGAACATCATTGCAGACTCTGATATTGCCCCTACAGGCCCTAGACTCAGACTGGTACCCGCTAGACCTAGCCTACACTACCGGCCTCTAAAAATGCCACTTTTGTCTTCTTCTGCTCGGCCTCCSGTACCTGCATATTTACCCCCCTGCCGGGTGCGTTACCGGCCTACCCGCTACTTGAGTGCTTCTTCCCCGCTGCAACCCTTCGAAGCCACGGCCACAGGTAAGTACCGGCCCTGAGGGCCCAACGAACGAACAAGTGCCCTGGCGGGCCACACACACACACACTGATACCAACCAGCACTCAGACAGGCACAGTCACACACGCAAGCCAACCAGCACTCAAACAGACATGCAGTCCAGCAAGCACACACACACACAGACTTAGCAGGCGGGGAACTCAGTAGGGCATTCAGTCTATGAGCAAAACTCAGAAATCAGCTGTGTGTTTCAGTCCGTGTTTGGATGGGTTATCACACTTGTATGTCTTTGCCTTTGAACTTGTGTTACCAAAAGGGTACGCCAACGGCCCTAAAATAACCCGCAATGTGAGGAGGGGGTTGGCTCTCCACCATGGGATTATTTTAGGGGGTTATTATAGGGGGCTCTTGAATGCTTTTAGGGGGTTATTTTAGGGCCACCTAAAATAAGCATCCAAGGCCACAAGGACAGAAATTCCTCACAAAGATCTTTGAGAGGTCATGACAGCACAATAACCTTTTCACACTGTCAGGTGGAAACGCAAGCTAATTCGTGATTTTACTCAATGCATTTGAGAAGCCTCTCATGTGCTTTGAGATGCTCGTAAGCACTGTACAGTCAACGCTCCTCATATTTAATTGCTACCCAAAATAGCTACTGTTAATGTGTTGTTACCATGGTTTATCTGAAGGTGGTCACCATGGTTGCGTCAGCTATTACTGTGGTTAATGTGTAATTACTGTGGTCAATGTGTACTTACTGTGGTTTATCATATGATTGAGACTGCAGGTGGAGGATTGTTATCTGGCATTGTTCTAGCAGCCAAAGGGATCAACCCTCAGATTCACGTCATTGCAGCAGAGCCAAAGGGAGCTGATGACGTGGCACGGTCAAAGGCAGCAGGTCAGCTTCTGAAGTGCGAAAATCCATGCACAATAGCAGACGGGCTCCGAGCATCCATGGGCGAGTACACCTGGTTCGTCCTTGTCTTCCTCTCTCCTCTCCTTTATCCCCTCTCTCTCTCTCTCTCCCCTCTCTCTCGTCTCTCTCTTTCTCCATTCTCCTCTCTTCTCTCGCTTCTGTTCTCTCCTTTCTCCCTTGTCTCTGCTTCTCTCTTCTCTCCTCTCTGCTCTCAGAATAGAAAGAAGCCCAAGGCAAACTCTTATCATTTGTACTTACACGGAGTACTTCAACTCTAAGAGTATACCTGAACTTAAATTCTATTAAGAGTATTCGTGAAATACATGAACTGAACTCTAAGAGAGATGTCACTAAGTCTCTGAGCTTACTCTGCGGTGGAATAAACTTTGACCGAGTAAACGAACTGTCACGCTTTCCTGGGACTTGCGAAAAGCAGCACCATACGATGAGCCCGCTTAGCCAAAAAGAGTAGACCTGGAAAGTACCTGCAGACAAAGTGGTACATACGTGTAACTGTTCACAAACAGATCATGAGTTCAATTTTTCAAATCCTGATGATGGGTACAATAATGCTAGGGCCTAAACCCTTAAACCATCAGTACTTGGCCCACAGCTATTGATGCCGAGCCTAGACTTGCCCTGCACACCCCAAAAAAACGAAGCGACGTGGGCCTGCTTTTGGCTGGCGTCACCAGCCATTTCGGTTCGGTACCCGATCCCCCGTAATGTGCGGCGCGTTAACGTGCAAGGTTTGCGTCCGATGTATGGGCCAAGCAAGTTCTGGTGGTTTAAACCAGCAGCACACCAGGGCCTGGTGGTGCCGCACTGCATGCCAAGCTTTGGTGAATGCCACCGGCGCATTTTTTTTTTCCCTTTTTTGGCTGGTGATGCCAGCCATTGCGTTTCTTTAGCCCCAAGCCTCCAGAATTCTAGTAGTGTTCGATGAAGAAATCTTGCAAGGGTGGGGCCGTGTACTGCCGGTTTGGAAAAAAAAACAAAAGGAGTAAACTTGGAAAGCTCAGAAAGTACAGTGAAAAAACGAGGTTGCAGAAAACTTTCAGGAAGCCGTCAACTGGCAGCAATTTTTTTGAAGGCGGTGAAGACGCAGAAATTTCAAAAGTGTCTTTGGATGTTGGAAGACATTCTTTTGGTGTAATTTATAAATTTGGAATTTATAATATTATATTTTATATTTTTGGATGCAAGACCTCTTTCCCTTTCCCCTTGCAGGAAGGGCACAGTGCCCCATTTGAGCACAGCTCAAGAAACCATGCTTCAATTGCCAGTAATTCTGTTGTGAATACTAAATAGTAAATACTAGTGCGAGGATTTAGTACCTCGGCAGTGTCTGGAAGTGTCGTGCCCGCCCTAAGTGAAGGCGGGCCTGCAAATATGTGCCAATGCTTGTTTATAGGCCTATGAGACCAGGTTGAGGGGCCCAAGCAGAGCCTGTTGTAAACCCCATGTGGGCATGGATCTTCGACAAGGCCTTGTTACGAGGCATGCCCCTGTAGGGCCCTTTCAGCAAGAATGAGCCCGCCCTAAGTGAAGGCGGGCCCCTGAATAGCGACATGGCCTGAGTTCGTCAATTTTGGCAAAGATTGGTGGACGCCAGACAGTTGCCATGCGCCAGTTGGTTACATCCTCCACACTCGTGAGAATCAGAAATAATTCTTGAGCCTTCTAGGCTCTTCCAGCAGCACAGGCGAAGCAGGGAGAACCTCACGTTTACTCTTGGGTGGTTAGGCAGGCTCAACCAATTCGGTCCCAGGCCACTGTTTGAATGGGTCTGGGTGCGGACACTTTGGCCCGATTGGAAGCTACTGGCAATACACGAGGCCAGCCAGGGAGCAGACTGGGCGAGCACTTTCCATAAAAGAAAGAGCTCGCCACTGGTGGAGGCATTCGGGCACTAGGCAGTGCATGCGGCAGTGCTGCTTGAGCGTGCGCTCGTGGGCTGTGCGCTGTGCACCAGCGCTATTTGCCAGGCAGTGCGCACGGGCGCTGGAAGAAGGCAGGGCGCTGCTGAGGGCAGCACCATAGCCAGCCCTATATAGCCAGGGTTTGGCTTGGACAGCCAGTGGAGGTGGTGGTGGTCTTTGTGTATGAGGGAGAAGACGTGGGAGGAAGACAAGGATAGGGAGAGAGTGATAGAGATGAGGATGATGATGTGAGGGCGCATACCTTGTATTGGCGATGGTCTGCATTGGTCGACATCTTCAAGTACTTCGGTGGCTGCTGACGTCAACAGTTGCATTGTCAATTCGTAGGCAGGAAGTAGCTGTGTAGAGAGTAGCAGGGAGAGAGGGCCTGGATACGTATGTTGGTGGGGACGAGAGTAAAGCTCTCATTGACGTTGGTTTTCAGTGTTTCGATTCTCCATTGGTGTAATATTGGTGCAATGCTGCTTTCTGGACACTGTGGGACTTTCGTGCTTTCAATGTGATTGTGCTATCTGGATTCTGGCATCTCGATATCTCTCATTTTCCTTGCAATTTGGTATCGGAGCTGGTTCCAACCACTCCGCTGGTTCCTTCGCAATAGTTGTTTGGTGCTTCATTGGGAAATGGCGGGGAAGTGATAATGCTTGTGCGTTGGAGTAAAGGCGGCCCTGAGTTGGGAGGGCGCGCCTGGAAGGCTATGAGGTGACATAGGGGTGCACGCTGGATGATGAGAGCTTGCTG